ACACCACCCCTCCCCCCCCGGCACTACTGTGTACACCTACCTTACCTACCACCACGCCGTCGCCTTTGTTAGCTCTAGCACTTCCATGGTGACCGTCCGACCAAGAGACGAAACTTGTGGATTATTCTTAAGCCCCCTTCGCAGCAAGGGACCCTTATTGGAACTTGAATTGGTTCCTAGACCAAACGGCCTGCTTGTTCGCCCAGCACCCAGGTTTCTTCCCCCTTGTGCCCAGAGTCTCGGCCGGGTAAATCGGCTTCGTCTTGCCCAACCCAGCCAGCCAGCCCTCGACCAAAGCACAAGGGAGAGGGGGGCCCTTGCTAAGGGCGGTCGATGCCAGCTAAACTGCGATGCCTACGCCCAGTCCACTTAGTGACTCGATCGTGAAATCAAAGAGCCCGCCTTTTAGGGAGGGGCACATATAGTCTATGGAGTAGCAGGCGGTAGCAGTAGCCAGGTGCTCGGTAGGGCAGAGTCCAGCCTGCCAAGTAAAGATCGCGATGGTCAACGGCCTCGACCATGGCGGGGCATTGTTCCAGCTGTAGACGTACACACACACACACACATGTCTGTCTTACTTTAATGACAATGACAGATGTGGACGTGTATAGACACACATGTGTACAGGACGGATACCATCTTTCAATATGCTGAGCTGAGCCTGCGTCAACGTTGGAAGCTCCCGATAACTAACAGTAGTAGCTAGCTATGGAGAAAATCAAACGCAGTCGTGGCTTTTTCGATAGAACCTGTCTTATCGTTGAGCTGGCCTTGGCGAAACGGCTTCGTGTTAGTGAGACGCCTAGGGTCAAGATCATTTGAGAGACACCATCAGGCCTAGAATGCTCAGAGATTGAACATATTACGCAACTCTACGGCACAGGTCACAAGTTCGTGCGTTGAGTTGAGGGAGATAGCTCTCCCTCTCTTTCTCTCTCTCTCTCTCTCTCTCTCGGTCTATACTTTCCCCAGATTTCACCCGGGGTTGGTCGTGGTAGTTTTGTATCTCCTTGGTTTGTCGGCGACGAGAGCCGAACGGCTTCCCTATTTCAGTGGAGAGTGTGGACTTGGAGATGGAGACCTACTTGAATGATGGACCGGATGTGATACTTGAATAGGATAGCATGTAAACAAGAAAAATGCTCGATGACGTCGTGAATTACAAGATCGCTGATCATTATCACGAATTGGCAAATGTGATTGAGAGGTAAAGAGATGAATGGGTATGTGATATTTTGCTTCAATCTTTATCTGAAGTGGTGAAAAGTTCTATAATCTTCTCTCGTTAAAAAAGAAACTCCCAAAAAGAAATAGCCGAATGCAAAGAGTTTGTGTATCCACAGTATTTCTTGGGGAATGGAAAAAAGAAAAAAAAGTTTCCTTCCGAAACGGTAACTCTCTCCAACGCCTGTCGCAAGGCTATGCCCAATGCCAACTCCTATGTACCCGTGGTATAATGCCATTGGCCTGTTGTGCCTGTCCAAATCCCGTTCCCTATCTAAAACAGAAGTGATGAATGATGTTGATGCTGTCATATCCTCTTTTCGTTGAGGCCCGATGGCGCCGTGAATGTCGTAATGATAAAAAATGTTTTTCATGTAGTTTGCCTAACCAAAGGCAACAAAACCCCAAGTTCAGGATAACGCCGGAAAAACCGCTCTTCCAATGCCCAGTTCTCGATGTTAAGTACATGGCTGATGAATTGTTGAGTGAGATAAATTGCGCCAGAAGCATAGTCGGGCAACAAGGCCTGCGATGGCCCGCCAGCCCAGTTGAGTAGGCGGAGACTTGTGTTATACAGGTGACGGAATTCATCGTTTGCGTAAACTTCCTGCCTTTGAATGACAGCATCTCGCAGTTGTGCCCACATGAGAAAGTCGACCCATTGGCCGTGTGAAATAGTTCGCTGGGCAGAAGTGGGTGCAAAGTTGTTGCCAAGCCCAGCTGCAGTTTCCTGTGATGGCTGAACCAGCCAAGCCAGGATACGCTGGAAAAGTAGAAAGCTTCCGACACGTTCGAGTGTCATGACGAGTCCGTCATTGTCGAACAAGGTCGTCGCAAGCTCAACCAAGGGATGTGCTGGCGGTGACAGGGGTAAAGGTGATTGCTGTACAATGGAAGCGAGATTCCAATGCGTCTCTATAAGACGCCTGATGTTCGGACAACCGGGTCCGAATATGACTTCCGGGTGTGGCTTCACACCCTCCATGCCAACCAAGCGACGACAATCCTGAATGTAACCATTCAAGAGAGCATCGCTCTGAGTAAGCGGTGGTGTGATCAAGCCCGGAGTTTCCCAATGAGGTGTGCTTGTCTGACTCCTCACAGAGTTGGCGACGCTGTGTAGTACATTGGGTACATGTTCCATGGAGGTGGCTGCTGGTATGCTTGTGGGATGGACAGCATGCTGAGCGGTGGGCATCCGATGTCTGGCCTCTTATTAGAACCCTCAGCTCTGATTTCATGTACATGAAAGAGACCGGTCTTACCTGGCTTGATGTCGTCGTAGCCTGACTTGCCGCTGATGCTCGAGACAGTGGGTGAGCCCATGCTCGAGGACATACCTGGCCTGTCCATGATTGATGGTGCGCTTGTGGGGTAGTAGGCACCACCGAGGTCATCAGTAGCTCCAGACGACGAGGGGCTCGAGACTGTTGAGGGGATTGTGGAGGCTACGGTGGATGGCCACGCATCCCCGGGGCTGGACAGGGTCTCATAAGCTCCCATCTCCATACCGGGGTACTCTGCAACAGCCCCAGGAGCTGATGTTCGCGACGTTGGGCTGTGGTGGTATGCTGCAAGAGAGAGTCAGCGTTCTGCTGCTTCCATAACGTGGTAATAAGGGTAAAAGGGTGTTCTCGTGTATCGTAGAGAAAGACGTACAAGGCTGGTAGTAGTTGCGCGGACCGTTGGAGGCGATACCCATGCTTTCCCTCAACCGGTGGAGTTCGTCTTCGAGCGCTCTGTTTCTCCTGAGAAGGTCCTGGACGGTATCATCTCGACTCGATACACTGCGCAGCTCCTCGAGCTCGCGCTCCAAGTTCTCGATATGTTCCTTGGTGCGTGCCCGGATGGCGCGTTGGGCCTCACGGTCGTTTGCTCTCTTGCGAGCTAGCTGGGCGGGAGTCAAAGTGGATACGCTTCGAGTGCCTGTTTGTGTTGCTATGTGTTAATGCCAATGGATTCGCGACAGGATTGGGGAAGGGGATATGGTCGTGATAGTGGTGGCGGTGGTGGTGGTGATAGTGGTGGTGGTGGTGGTGGTGGTGGTGGTGGTGGTGGTGGGCAAGACTGACCCTTGCGCTTGCTCGACTTGGAGCTGTCTGAGGTGGACTTTGTCATGTTGTCGGGTATTTGTGTGGTGGATGCTGGAGAGCTGCTTCGTGACTTGGAGTTTGAGAAATCAGCCATTGCTTTGATGTGTGTTGTGATATATAGAGGATATAGGTGGGACAATCCAATCTCCAGGGTCTTTTCTGGCGTCATGGCATGCCGTGTTATATATGGTGACACTCGACGCCCATGCGAGCTAATCCAGAGGCGTGGCTTACACGCAGGGGATGCTTGCGACCAGCGACGCGGACTCCACTTGATGATGCATACAGGCTCTTAGGGCAAGTACACGCAGCTCAAGTACATACGGCGAGCCCAGGAGGATAACGAGCCCCCCCTCCTCCCCCTCCATGAATGGGATGCAAGTACCAGAGGCAAAGAAGGACGACCAAGTTGAATGTCTCGGAAGATGGTGTGCAGAGCAAGTCCTCAAAGCCCCAGAGTTAGTGTCCTTCTAGAATCTGCAGCATCATAGTCCGGGAGTGATCGAGACAGTCCAAGCCTGGGGGTGGTGGACGCTGCTCCAGAGCCACGACATACTTCCAAGTTGGAGGCTTGGAGCAGCAGAGAGTATGTAGACGACGGGGGAAACTCTGTGGGCGAGTACTCAGTGACACTACGTACTGGACGACGGTACGAAGCAAAATGCTGCTTGCACAGCCGTGGCTGGCCCTTGAGCATGCCGGTACCGAGCCTATCGCTGGCAGACCATGGTAGTGCCATTTCAAAACCCGGTCGCCCATGTGCGAAAGTATCTTCATGGCGTACAACAAGTCTCGGTACTCTGCAACACCTCTGCACTCTCAAAGACTGCCCAGGCGATGCCGCAGGGGGCTAATTCAAACCTATCTTCTTCCCATCCGTTCCGGAGTACGTACAGAAACAGGGAGTGTGCCGATCCGCTTCTGCTTGTCCCACCCCCTCCCTCCTTGGCAAATCCTTCCCCATGAGTGGATCCCAGAATAGAGTTCACACTACTGCCTCTAGTTGCGAATTGAGGAGTCCGACGTCCGGCGATTTGCAATGTCCCTGGGAAGTCCCGACAGGGGGGTGTGGGAGTGAGTTGCTGGGGTACTCTCGTCTTCCCTTTTCGAGCCGTCCACCAATATCATTGGCGAGGCCATCTGATGAGCAGCTTGTATTGTATGAAAGAGATGTGCAAGAGGCAAGACCTGAAGCACAGGTAACGAGTAGGTATCATCTATTTTGCTTTGAAGCGGCCCAACCGAGCGTCTCCCTCCCCCCAGACGACGATTTAATGGGAGCCACAAAGGGCCGAAAGGCTCAAGTGAAAAAGAAGGAACTGGGCTGGGAAAGTTGCCTTGGGACAGCTGGACTGGGTGGAACCGCGGGCTGGACGAACGTTGGCAGGCCACGCAGAATAGAGGGGGGGAATAGAAAAATTGGGAAGCAAAAAAAAATTCATCGTTGAGAGTATCCACTGCTGCTGCTAGGTGCTTTGCTCATACC